GATTGGGGTAAAAAATCTACTAATACAGCTTCAGAGATCCTGTTTTTCAGAAAATCGTTTTTCAGATGGTGAAATTTTTATCTTTTTAAAACAACTTTTAATCGATCCATTTTGTAGATCTTGCCGAGTTTTCTATGTAAATAATCTTTTTTGATCATTAGACCTCTCCTGGCCGACTTTTAAGACTTTTAGCGATACGAAATGAATTCTTTTTTTTCCTTCTTTTCTTTCACTCTTAACGATATGTTTTTAAGAACAGCCAAATAATAATGACATATTCTTAATAAGAACGTTCAGGACAAAATTAACGTATGTCGTTTGTAAGCGAAAAGAAACACCTAGTATAATTTCTTTAACGATATATCGTTCACTCGGCCATCATCATTCTCTTTCTTGCGATACATATTACGAAAATATAAACGGATTGCGACATGTTGTTTTACTGGAAAAAAGGAACAGACTGCTCTACAATATGTCTTTTTGTCCATTAATTATCACAGAAACAAGTCTATCTCTTAGTTCAAAAATCGAACGAAATGAGGAAATAAAAAGATATGTTCTGAAGGGACGAAAACACAGACGTTGAAAGGATTGAATAAATCTGTTTTTCAATTATTTGTCAATGCATGTGATAATTTTTTACCGTTCATGATGTAGTAACAAATAACATGTTCTGAACAACTTTTGCGCACAGAGTTTTGCTCCAAAATGCATCGTTCGAGCAACACTAGTCGTAAGATGAGTTAAAAAAATGAGTCAAAACCCACCGATATCTCCTAGCTTTGCATGTTTTCTTCACACTCTTTCAGTCTGTGGAGGATACTGCGAATTATATGTTTTCAAGTTATTTCAGCTAATGGCATTATTTGACTTAGAAAAAAATTACTTAAAAGAGTGTGGCTAAGTTTATGACTTACCAGATTTACTGAACAGTCAAAAATAAATTCTAAAACTTTTAAAGTAGTTTATCTTGTAGCCCGTGAAATTCTCTATCAGATGAGCTATTGCTCGAGGTTTTTCGTTGAGTCGTTATTTTGCAAATGAGACTTTAAGCCAATAGAGTAGGCTAAATTAATGTTAATTTAGTCAATAACAGGAAGAAAAGACCAAAGATTTTTGCATAGTTTCTCATAGTAAATATTCTTCACACATTTCTTTGTCGATTCAGCCAGGAGCCAAGTTTTATGGAGAATGGATAGAAAGCTTTTAATAACAACCCCATACTCGAACCCTTAACAACATTTTTTTAAGTAATTAATTAATACTCGTAGAAAATATTTTAATACTTGAATTTTACAAGAGTATATCAGTATCCAATAGATAGTTAGTACTACTTTCATAGAACTCATAAGTGCTCTATGTTTCAATGTTACACTCGTCTTCTCAATTTCTCATTCTAACACCACACAGACAGATATCGATTATTATCACCATTTTTCGTCCGTAGCTGACTGGCCGCAGTATAATGTCAGTTAGCATTGATAATATATATGTTAAAGAGTTGTTTAAATGAATCTCAAGTCATAATGTTAGTACTTTTAAAATATGTTTAGAAAACACAAAAATCATTAGGAAGGATTTATCCTAAGTTTTTATTATTTTCTCTGATTTTTTTCTATTATTTCATTTCATCCTTGCTTATTTTATGGATTGTTTCTGAGTACAAAATCTATTTTTTTTGTTTCAACAGCTGTAGAAAATGAAACAATCAGAAAATGAATTTTAAATCTTCGTTTTAGATTGATCGTTTAATGTGTGAAATAAATACGAAATGGAACGAGAGAGAGAGACAAAAGGAGAAGAAGATAAAAAGAAACCATTAAAATTGATAATGTTTTGTGATGTGATCCAGTTCAAAAAAATAGCTCGATTTAATATAAAAATTGTTTTATACTAATGTGTTTGTCGATCAACGAATGATTTTTGTTACTGGTTTTTTATTTTCAACTCTGGTAGTTTAGCATCATATCGTTTTTTGTTCACTATTAGAGACCAATAGTTGATGATTGTCAAATAAATTTGTTCTAGTACCTCATGTTTTTTGTGCGGTGCCTGCTCATATAGTGCAGCACTGGGATGTGATGTAACTACTACAAAAAATTCTCTACTAGCTAATCCAATTAAACATTTTTCTACTTCAACAATACATGTCGCTTTTTCATCACCGCCAATAGGACTAATACCTCGTCCATCTAGACTAGGATTACGTGTGCATTTGATTGACAGTGAAGAATGTACAATGTAATAATCGAACTGTTCTTTCGGCTCTAATTCACAAATAATCAAATATTTAATGCTGTCATCAGAGAATAAAGACACCATGTTCAAATCATAATATTCTTTCCACGAAATCCTGGTTACAGCAAATGGATCTGCAGAAAACAGTTAGGATTATGCTTCCATCAAAAAACTCGGCCCATCTCTATGCTAATTTCAAAAGCCACAAACTGGTTTTCGAAAGATGTTCTGAGAAACCAGCCTTTCGAGTCCCTTCAAAAGTCGTTTTCGCTTACGAAAAGGTGGCTTGAACTCCCTGGTTTCGATTACTGGAAACTACAGGTCGCTATTTCATCTTTGTAAAAGTTATTAGCAAAAGACTCATGCCCACCGTATTTTCGAAATCTATATAAAACAAGTAATAAAACCATTTCAAAAAATTTGCAGTTAAGGACTTTTCCTCATGGTTTTCCAGAAAACTCCTGGAAATATAGTGACCTCAAAAGTTATCTTTCATATCCATATTTAATAGAGCTTAGAACTCTTTTGAAAACGAGATGTCTCTCAGCTCTCGACATAGTTTAGGAGATATGACACTTTCACTTTAACAGAAAAGAGACTACACTATCAATCCCTAGAAGAAAATATTGGAAAATCTTTTCAATAAAGGATCGAGAATCACTACAAGAACATCGTTCCTGGTAAAGTTCACAATAGTTGTACTAACGATCCACACTGGTGACCGACCAAGATTGTAAATATACACTGTGTGGCATTCTAGCAAAACCCGGCCACTTTAACGTCACAGTCTAGGCAGTTTGATGAGTTCAAGTGTACTCAGAATGTTCTTTTACATACTTTTTTAAACTTCAAATATTTTATTAATTTTTGCTTTAAAATATGCCAATACATTAAATCACAATAAGATAACAAATTATTCGTACTAATTCGAAAGCGACGATTTTAGGAACAAAAACATATCGTACGTAGTCTCTTTTACTATAATACTACCAAATATTCAACAGAAGACAATAAATGAATAAAGCGCATGTTCGATGTTGTGATGGTGTCTCTAATGGAATTATCTTCTCTTATACTCTATGTAACAAACTCAATTATAAAGAGCTGCAAACAGGATATTCAAGAAAAAAGTTTTCATATGATTTACACCTTTATCTGACTGAGTCATATGATTTTCTATTTTTGACGTTTTTCGCTAGAGAAACTAGAAAAACGGCTCTAACTTATGAAGGCAGAGCTGAGATGTAAGCAATAACGACGTCTCATTCAACCAATAGTTTCTGACTCATTTAAACACGTCAGTTCGAAATGTAATAAATATTCAAGGGTGATTTGCAATATATTGGTACCGTTTGTGGAAAAAATGGTCGAAAACAATGTTTTGACTTGCTGATTTTGTTACTATATGTTGAGAGAGAACAGGAAATACATTTCCCGACTATCACTATAAATGCAGCGAAGGTACGGAGACTCGAACGAATTCCTGTAATCCCCGAAGTCATTTTTCTAGAAATCATTATAGTTGATATAATTTAAGCATGTGACATATAGTTTGATAGATTTCGTAATGGTTCTATCTGACCATTATAAATGCTTAGAATAATAGCGTCCTGGCTTTTGCGAAGATCTTAGGATTGGCTGAGAAGGATGTCATGTTCGCTGCAAGCGGAACGAATTTTCGCTATGTCGACAGAAATTTCTTGACACCGAGCAGGGTGGCTTGTCATTTCATCTCCGCTCTCGGCGGTGCTGGATAGCGTCTTCAAAGACGAATCGATTTCATCGTAAAAAGAAAGTGCATGTTATGTACTTCATATGCTTCTTTTTTCTTATTTTCGCATATAACATCCATATTCAAGGAATATTTTAGGGTTTTGCATCTTAATTTTAATGATCCATTTGACTTTTCCAGTCATAGGAAAATAAAAAAGTATAAAACAAAAACAAAATAGCGATTTGAGAAGAATCGACTTAAGGGGGCCCCCTCAGGAAAAAACTTTTTTATCTTACATCCGATTTCGGTAGCACATACAACGACTAATGCTTACTGCCCAACGAGCTTATGATGAAAATTCGAGATCGAAATGTTGAAGTGCAGCGAAGTTATTGCGTGACGAAGGGTAAAATGGAGCCTCGGCAAAAGCGTAAAGGCTGTTTTGTTGAAAGATGCGGAAAGCTATGAATGATCTCAAATGAAAGTAGATACCTAAATCTAAAATTTGATCCGCGGCGACTTTTGAATTTCGCTTCCTTTTATTTTCTACACATATTTTAAGTCAGAGCTCTGAAAATAACTCCAATTCGGCGGAGTATTTGCCATTTATCTCTGCACAGAAAACAAAAATTAAAAATGGCCGCGGATCAAAGTTTAGATAAATGTCTTAGCTTTAAAATAAAAAAAATAGAGGTTTTACGAGGAATTTTTGAGAAGTTAATACAATGTTGCTGCGCTAACACCATATTCTAAGCAATGGCGTCATCACTTCATTAATTACAATTCAGCTCCTTTAGCAAAACTAGTATAACTCTGCAAGACAAGGTCGTACAAACCTGCTGGATATCTCATGTATTGTCAATGCATAGAAGGTAATCTTCCACTAGGCGGCACAATTACTTTTCTTGCGCGCAACCGGATTAGGTGATTTTTTAAATAATTATTTCTTTTTGTGAAAGAGAGCACGAAATACAGTCACATACATATACTTCTACAGTACGTTCTTTAGTGGTATTGTTGTTTAGTGTGAGTCCACACACTTCATCATTCATCGTATATACGGTACCCATCGGCATATTTTTCGTTGTAGATTTGGTAATAGCTTTGTAATATTATAATCTAAATAATAAGTGTCATATTGTAATTCTTCGACTGTTGGTAATTGTACCTTGTCTTGTGTGACATTCCTATCAACATTGTAGTATTCGTGTAATATTAATATGTTAACTCGTGAAAGTGTTTTTTGAATAAACTGAAATAATTCTAATGTTAGTGGTAAGTCATCTGGACAATCCTCATCATCATAAAATTCAATTTTATTTACTTTTGACATTGTTAGTAGTGATGATGTTTCAATGAGAGCTTTATTTAAATGATAATTTACGATATTAGATGTCAATGAACGAAAATATTGATAATGATAGGGCAATGTTGCACAAACATAAAATTCTTTTTCTTCATGTTCATAAAAAAATATTGTTTGTTGTTGTAACCAATATGGTGTTTGATATGTTTTTATAATTTTTTGTAAATCAATGATAGTAGGAAGAAGTTTCATTTTATCGTCATCAACACTACTCTTATCAAATAACTGATGATAATAATGATAAAACTGTATACAAAAATGCAAGTATTTTAATTTTGATAATTTAGACAATATTTGATGATATAGATCATGACCATTTATAAATTCCAAATCTGTATCACAATGAATATGTAATGACAGATATTCTAATGTAGAAGAAAATTGTGTTAGTAGTATCTGAAATTGTCGCAAAGTTGTTATAAATCCATTTAAAGAAAACTTTTTCAAATATTTTCTTGTTGGTTTTCCTACAAGTGATTCCCGAACTTCATTACCGACAGATAGTTGATAAGGCATCATTTCTACATGTATTGTTTCTAAATGTAATAAATATTCAAATAATATACACAATTGATATAGACTATATAAACAAATGTGTAAATGTTGTATATAAAAATTCTCTGTCCATATTAGCCATGGTAGTAGTGGTGAAGAATCATAATCATTATGGTTATGCCTAAAGGTAGCAATATATTTACTATGAATATGAATTGTTTTCAAATGAGTGTTAGACTGAAATGATCGATGACAACAGTGCGAATGTATATGCCCTTTAAACTTTAATACTAGAGTTGTTAATTGATGTAGAGATTTAAATTTTCCTAAATACATTAGAAATAGATCATTATTATCATCAATATCTGTTAAGATAATTGTATGCAACTGTGGATAGGTTAGAAAAATATTTTCTGATGGTTGACTGATATCAAATAGAAGAGGTAATTGTAGTTGTTTTAACTTTAATTTCTCTATATAAGATTGGCATTAAATAATTATTAATCCATATTCCATTTGCATCAGTCAAGTCAATTCCATCCAGATAATGATCATAACCAGAAAATATTAATTGATTTACGTATGAAAGAAAAGGTGCAATGTTGTTGTTAGTTATAATTTAAATTTTGTATTATTCCGAAAAATGCGTGCAGCTCCTCCAGCGCACTACTACGATATTTTAGTCACGCGTAAATGTGAAATTCGTGATCAGCGTAGGAAATGCTATCGATTGGTATAATTTTATCAGAATCGGCTGATTTATGCTGTAGCACGATTGCGACATAAAATATGCTTTCTATGATTTGACTGTCAAATTATATACCGTACTTGTATGTTTTGAACAGTTTCAAGGAATTACATTTTGAAGGAGGTGGAAGAAGAAAGCATAATCAACTTTTAATACAGATTTTTTCGTTAAGTTGAATGAATTTTCTACATAGCTACAAGAGAAAAAACACAGCAGAGAGAGAGGGAATCACAACAAATCATCAAAAGGGAGGTAATTATTAGATAGTACTAAAATTCCTTGATCGTTGAAATAGAGATAGACTTCTCTACTACACAAGTCGAGTATGAAATAACAAAAACGACATAGTACACATAGTCCACACAGTAATACACATAGTAATCAACACATAGTAATACATAGTCCACACAGTGCACTTATCTATTTAATCAACAGGCGGAAAAATCAATAATCTATCAACGGAATCACATTATCTTCGCAGGGTCCTCTGATGCGAACTTAATTAAAGCACGTTTCGGGTCGCTGGCAACCGCCCGAGTGAAACAGCGTCTAGAGAAGATACTCCAGTATCGCGTTATTAAGACGAAACATCTAATTCCCCTGTATTCTTGGTAAAAGCGACGTTAGACTTATCTGCACCCGCGGTCTTGGCAGCCCAGAGCAAGATTTGATGATGATATACAGATGATGATACAGATATATATGTATGTTCTGTAGTATATGTAATAGTTCTGGTATCTGTCTAAGGCGTGTGTAATGTATAGTGCATAGTTCTGAAATCCTGAAATCTTGAAATCCTACTAGCATTAGATATATATATATAAAAATATATGTGTATATCCTGGAATATGTATATATACATATATATTTATATGAATGTGTATATATATGTATATGTGTATATGTATATATATATATATGTATACATATACGTGTGTATGAGGGGTAGATGGGGACTTGTAGGATTTCTCGGATCTGAATATCATTCCCTACCTAGAGTAGACAACCCTCAAAATCAATTGTTACTTCCAACAGTATGATCGAATAGACGTCGTTTTTGATTCCAGCCAAAGTAAGAGTGTTAAAGCTTTCATTAATCGACACGGCAATGATAACGATTCAACAGATTATGATCTGCAAAGTAGCGATATTCTGGAAGCGTCATATCACAAATTTGTCCACAAAAATCGTGCTGTTTTGGCCGCACGCGTTCGCGAATGTTGGAGTGATCCTGCAGTGGTAAAACTGCTACCAGAAAGAAAAATTCTGGTGGCGGCAGGACCTGACGAATCAGAAATCAAGTTAGAGAAAAATTGTCCATCAACACTTGACTATATGCTTCAATCAGATCATGTTGAGGCTGATACGCGCATGTTGCTACACGCGCAAGTTATCCGTTACGATGATTACAAAACAGTTGTCATTCAAGCAAACGACACGGATGTGATTATATTATCCATTGCCCATGGTCTATCTACTGGTGTTGATAATCTTTACATCAAATCGTTCAATACAATGACTAAAATCGCCACATGCATTAATCCACTTCGAATCGCACAAGAATTGAAACGAAAATTTTCCGTTGACCCAACCATTTTGCTTGTCATCCATGCTTTATCCGGTTGCGACACTACATCATTCGTCAGGAACATTACTAAAAGCAATTTTTTTCGTACTTATTTCAACAATTACAAACGATTTTCTCACCTGAATGAATTTTTTACATCACCGTTATCAAACAAAGCAGTTGTAGCTGCAGAGCAGCTTCTTTTAGCTTGTTATCCGTCCTCTAGGACGCAGACTTCTCTGGACGAACTACGTGGAATAATGGCCGTCACTGCCTTCAAACAAAGTCACAAAATTATCGCTGCTAATCTTCCACCAACGTTCAACGCATTTTATCACCATTGTCTTCATGTAGCCCGTCAAACTGACATTTGGTGTCGAACGTTTGAACCGTATTTAAATCTACCACCATTGGATATTTGCAATGGCTTTACGAAGATTAGTGAACAAGTGTAGATTAAATAGTCATCAATTGCTGAAAAGCCCTCTGATCCTCGTTTATCTACTTGCGGGAAATGTTCTAGCGGTTGTCAACGTTGTAAATGCGGAAAACTTGGTTTGATCTGTACAATTTATTGCCAATGTTCATCAGATAAATGCCAGAATCGATCCACCGATCAAGTGAGCACCTATCCTACAACTTAAAGCGTGTTTTTTTTTATTTCCATTTAGCCGATACAGTTTGCTCTTGCCGGTGTTATTTTGAATGAAGATAGCGAGAACGACGCTTTCACAGCATAAAAAGTTATGATTCTAGTGAAGGCGACGCTGAAAACGAGAAGAATTCTTGGCAATATAGCTCTTCCAGCTTGATAAACAATCATTTTGCATGAAATTGAATGCAACTTATGGTTTATTTGTTGTAGAGTAATGTGTCAGACTCCGATAATGCCCATTATGTACGCTCACAATTGCAACAAATTGATTTGCAAGCAATATCACATGAAGATACTTGCTTTTCAGAACCGAATAGTTTTGCCACAGAACACATCGAACACAGTTATTCTAAGAGTTCCACCGAAGAAGAGAACGAGTGCGTTAACGTTCGTTGCAAACGGAAACGATTACTTACGGACATGGTAACTCTCCAGAGGACTATCGGGCAAATGATTGCACGACTCTTTTGCTTTAGATACCCAAACAAAACAGCAATAGAAGGAACACGTCACTCAACCGACAAATCTTTCAGTCTCGAACAACAGCAGAACAAGCCGCTAGAGGCGATTCGAATTTTGTAAGCATAAGAAAACAACAATTTGTGGATTGCTGATGTGTTCTTCGTTTAGAAAATACAACTCTCCCCGGCGTCCTATACCCGGCGTCACAAACCTACAGGAAACCGAACATATTTACGATACGATGTCTAGGAGGATCCGGATGAACAATGTTGATCAGATAAACAATGTTATAACAAGAGCAGTTTTTGGACGATTTTATGAGTGATGTAAACAAATCTGTGTACTTCATACTTTTTATTGTAAATAATCGTTTGTTTTAATGAAAGGGCACATATCACCGGATCGAAAAATTTTAAAAGCTTGTTCGGCCAAGACCGATTGCAGATTCGTCTTCTCCCTGGTTGATTATGTGGTACGCGATAACTTCTGGATCGGGGTACTTCAGAAAAAATTTTCGACGTCGTTTTGCCTTTGGTCCCCCCATACGGTAACATTTGAAAAAAATTTTGAGCAAGACCATGGGAAAAATTTTTTCTAAAGTACCCCGATCCAAAAGTTACTGCGTACCACATAATCAACCATGGAGAAGACGAATCTGCAATCGGTTTCGACCGAACAAGCTTTTGAAATTTTTCGATTCGGTGATATGTTGTATTTTTCTGTATTTCTGTTTTCAGTGTAAAATACCGGTGAATTAAGAAAAATAAAGGTATCATCTGATATACACTCAATCTGACAGATAAACAATCTAAATGACAAGCGACAGCAATACAAAAATGTAAATAGCTATTATTCCATCGATAAATGGAAGAATAGATCGAAAAAATCCTGCCAAACTACTGCTTATAACAGCACCATCGTGTTTCATATCTCCATGATAAACCCTCTTTTAAGCTGTGGTTTAGGACGACATCTGTGTCCTTTTTGTGCGCGCCACATTTTAGATAGAAAACACATGCGTCACTACAAATAATTTATAATTTCTATTTCTTTCGCCCTATTCTGGTCTTCTGATCAGCCAATTTGCTAAGATGTCACTATAGTAGGTGCATTTGACATTGATTGGCTTTTTTCAATGCGATTCATTTCATCAGAAGACCACATACCATAATAAGCTTTCAGCTTTATGTAGAGAGATCCCAGCCTTTTGCTGTATTGATTTTCATATATTCAATATGAAAATCCAAGAAATTTACCTTGGAGAAATACGAACTTTTACGTGTTACTGTGACTGGAATTGAGATGAAAATGACTAGCTCTAATAAATAGATTTCACTGTTATATACAACTACTTGTATTTGTAGAAATAGACGCGCTGTCTTTCTCTTTCCTGATGAATATTTTTATTACACTGAATTATTGGCCATATATTTAGATGTAAACTCTAATAATAAAACAATATCATTGATATTATGCTCTTGGTATGTTGAACTCGCTAATCTCCTCTCATATAGTTAAAAGTAACTCTTAAATTTGTTTTAGTGAAAGTAAACGAAATTTGTTATCTATACACAAATTTTTTTCTTACTAAATGTGTATCGTGCAATCTAGGGTGAATAAACCACTACTATTTTGATCTTAAACAAGAATTTAACTTTTTTTTCTTCCTTTTCAAAGGGCATCGGTCCCATTGACGCATTGATCTAGCATCAAGAGAACGTAAAATCAATATTTTATTCCAGTATCAATCGAACGTTTGTTTGTGTGTATACATCTCACCCTAATTTTGAGAAGAGCAACACTGAAGAAAGTAGCAAAATTACTTGCCTAGACATGCAAACATATGGTGCAAAATTTCTGTCGTAAACATTAAAATCTTATTTTTGTCTCTAAATCAAGTGTAGATTGATTCTGTATACATTTGTGATTAGTAAAACGAAGGATGATATTTTCCATGTAAACGATTTATCTGGTGATTTATATTATGCAGGCCACATTATACAAAATTGGAATAGATAACGAGAGGACAAAAGAAATAATGTATCCAAATTCTGGACGACCACAATCACCTACTAGCGTCCCAATAATAACTAATAATGGCAACAACAACAACAACAGTGGAACTGCAGAAACATCAATCTCAACACCTCCACTAACACCGATCAATTCAATGTTTCCAACTACAACTACGCCTTCACCCCAGCAACAACAGCCTCAATTACATGCAACTCTATCATCAAGTAGTGTATCATCAACTAGTACACATCTAGTTTCACAAACAAATGAAGTAACGCGTCGAACAAGCAAACGAAAACTAGCAAATGAAAGTATGAATAATACAAAACGACGTGGTGAAATTCCAAAACTCGAACGACTTGTACCAAAAGTATTTCCAACAGAATATCCCTTTAACAAAGAAGGATACAGGTATTTATAGGATAGTCTACATAACAGGTGTGAAAATTTTGGTTTGGGTTTTAGATATCATTTAGCCGAACCCGATCCTCATTCTCCCTTTCGTCAAAAATTTGATGAAACAGAAGTTTGGGCCGGAAAACCAATACCAGGGCATTTATATCGAACGTTTTTAGAAAATGAATGTCTTATGTCGTTAAACGATCGAGGTATGAATACTTTTGATTTTTTTGCATCATTCTACTAATATTTGCTTGTTTTGTTACTATAGCTCAACAATTAAAGTTGAATGATGATCGACTAACTGTTACTGGTGATAAGGGTTATTGTTCTATACGATCAACACATTGTAAGTTACTGAATTAGACAACATGGAAAAAGATCGTTCACAGGCATTGAGCTATCGTGAGAAAAGTTGATTTTCAAAATAAAATAATTCTAAAACGAGAAACAATAATGATTAGCTAGAATGATATAATATAGGTGAGTTTTCGATGTTGAGATTGCCGTAAAATAGAAAAGCACTCCGTCCTCCTTGTAATTCCCTTGAATTCTAATTTTGTCAGAAGTTCTTCTTGGAAAAGACGGTCGTTTAGCGTTTTCGAATGTGAAATATTTTTTTTTACAGGTGTCTCACATGGTAGTTGGTATTATGAAGTTACAGTTTCGTCCATGCCACCGAATACAGCGGCTAGAATTGGTTGGGCACAATATCTAGGTACTATTAAAGAAAAAGGTCAACAGTATTTCTTACCACTATTCTGTTTGTTCGTGATAGCAAATCTACAAACTCCGATTGGTACAGACAAATTTGGTTACTCTTGGCGTTCAAAAAAAGGAACAATATTCCATGAAGCCAATGGCAAACATTATTCAAATAGTTATGGTGAAAATGATGTTTTAGGATTTTTGATTATTTTACCTGAATCAACAAGTCATTTGTTACCGCGAAAATACAAAAAATTGGTATACTGTTTACTTATTCAAAATTCAATATGAACGATTTATGATGTTTACCTTCTAGCCACTTGTTAAATTTAAAAATTATATCTATTTTGAAGAAAGAGACAATGTGCGAGCAGGTGAAGCAAGTTTAAAAGAAACAAATAGTGGAAAAGTAAGACATCCTCTTTATTTCTATAACAACTAATGTAACATTTGATGTTTTATACTATCTATTTAGATAATATTTTATAAAAATGGAATTAATCAAGGTGTTGCATATAACAATATCTACGAAGGCAGTTATTACGCAGCGATATCGTTATATTATGGAGCAACGGTAATTTTGTTTTTTTGTTAACTCATTTCAACATGACCCGACAAACAGGAACTTTTTTCTCTTCTACTTCAGCTGATAAGGAAACTTTCGTTCAGATATCTATCATATTTTTTTTCTGTCACTTCTGGACTACTTCTAACGCCTCTCTATGCTCTTATTGTTTTCTAGGTGACCGCTAATCTTGGACCTGATTTTCGTTATCCTCCAAATGATGTCGATAGTGATTGGAAGCCGGTTTGTATTTTTAAGAAATCATTTGATACATTTTTTGTTAAAAGATAAGAATTTCAAGTAGAGTACGGTGTCAACAGCTATTTTCAATTGCGACAGCACTGGCTTCGTTTTGAAAAAATGACACACGAAAATTTGTGATTGAAAATGTTTTGCACAACAAAAACTTTGTCATCTACTAAAATTATGCGATTACTCAGCAAGACTCATATTTTATATTGAAAACGGTAGATGAGAAAGAGTAAAGAAAAATCTTTTATAATACAAGTGCGTTTGCGTTTTCTAAGCAAGACGGATTCTATCCAGGTTCTACATGACAAATTGTATTTTTTATATGTTTCTTTCTGTTCAGATGTCCGAAACAATAGTAGAAACATATTGTTCACATACACTTAATGATATTATGTTTCATGTGTCACACGACGGTAAACTATTTCTAGATTGACATTTATTTATTTACGCACATACATATTCACACACAGACAAAATATTTTGCTGCTCGATTAATTTTGCTAGAATGTTCTTTCTCTTATTTGTTTGTTTTTTTTACAATCAACAAACAACTCGACACTGGTTTAGGCAGTCTATTTCCTTTATGATGTCATTTTTTATGCTATTTTAAATATATTAACAGATTTTTGCTGTCTAATTTTTTTGATCTTTTTTTCTCTTTTGTGGTTTGTTATTTATGCACATAAAGAATAATATCATTTTTTGCGCTCATCTTATATGCATGTGTGGAAGCTAGGCTATAGTTTATGCTGCTTATTTGATTTCAAACATTAGTGCAATAATTTTATTGAGCACAAAATGTATGTATGACAGTCTCTTCAGTCTTTTTTCTGTTGTTTTCATCGTGTTTTCATTTACATTAGTTTAAAACTATAAAATATTTTTTAATAAACAGAAAGATACATAATTGTTTATTTCAATTTTGTTTTTTCGAATTAATTCGATATTACAGTGTATGTGTCGAAAACCTACAAGAAAGTTAGACCTTTTAAAATGGATCAATTGAATAACTATTGAGAAATAGTATTATAAATTAAATTTGATAATAAATCCATGGCTTTCAAATTATTTCTGATCTTAACGGGTGCTTGTTTATTACAAAATAACCTCTTGCTTACACATTTAATATTTTATATAATTTATGATATTTCATTTTTTCTTCTCATTCTAGAACAAGATATTTTGAAAGATAATGTTGGTTGTCAATCAGGCATCCCAAAAGTAAGTGTTTACTTGTCTGAGTTCAATTTCCTCAGATTAATTTACTTTTATTTTACTTTTAGTATGGCAATAGAAATACATTTCGTGATCCAACAAATCGTTGTCGACGACTGGCAACACTAAGTGCCCCCATATTTGAATGAATCTATAATATTTTTCTTTTCTCTTTGTATGAAACTGCACAAGGAATAAAACAAACATATGTCCTTCTATACTGTAATTTAACTTTTTTCCATGTTCATTTGTACGTCCTTTATATTTCTCGATAATATTTTCTTCACTAAATAATCTGTTATATATTTTTGATAAAACTAACTCCTGTGATAATCTGTGTTTGTTGATGTTAAGCAAGTCATGCATTCAAGAAGAAAACTAGAAATTTGTATTACACAGCTGAAAGAAAATTATTATTATTATTTTGAATGGGGGTTTACAAAAGAAAGTTATTGAAAAGAAAACTTGGCTACACATTAGGTACTCCGCCAATAAGAATGAGACCTTAAAAATATCTTCTGTTAGGAAATTTAGAAAAAGTTGAAAAAAAGTCAAGAATGGCCATCTGTACACATGTATACTCAAAGTAAGAGGATATGTAATTGATGTTGTCACATACATAATTTATTTTTAAATTACGTGCACTTCTAAATTAACTGATGAATCGAAGAATAACTCAATTGAAGAGATCACTCGAAAAACAACTGGAAAAAGATTAAATAAAAAAGTTTAAATGAATAGTCAATGAATAATTTTGTATTTTTAAAAAACAAAAAATTGGCTCGAAAGTCAATAACTCTACAGATATTTCAAAAACCATAAGGAAAAGTAGTAAGAATGTGACATTCTTACAGTGAGTTAGTAAGAATGTCACTTTTGCAACAGAATCTGTGTATATGTTTGGTACCCGGGTGAAAAACGTTCGGTCGAATCCATTTCATTCCGACTATTTCCGGCTGCTTGACCGGATCCGGTGAGCAGATTTAGTTCCTTCCGTTATATTCCAATATCTAGAATTAAGGTGGATTCGATCACCGGATCCTATGGCCGAACCGTTCGAATCTGATAGTCGGAAGTTAACGGATCCATCCACCTATAGTTCTTTTCTTTCCTTTTGCTGCTTTGTACGGTGAATACATTCAGCGATTTGTTTCTCGGTGTTTTTAGTATAAATACGATACTGTAGAACATGAAACACGAGATTTGTTTTCGCAGTGAACAGTGTGAGTCATTGAAACTCACTGTTGTTCGAAGATGTGTGAGTCAGTCACACACGCCTTTGGCTAGTTCCAAGAAATAAATAGTAAACAAGAAGAAAGGTATTTATGGCTAAATATTAGCTTTTAACGGCTAGAAAACTACCCATAAATCCGATGCTATTTCTGATAATCAGATCCTTTCCATACAATTTCCGATCGGAATTCGGGCAATAGGATTCCGATACAATCTACCACATATCGGGACGAATTTTGTCGAAATCCGACGCCTTCCGATAGTCAGGAGTGAACAACCTGGGTAGTATACAAACAAACTTACAAAGACAAAACTATTTACGGTTGAAATCGAGCTAAGTATGATATAGGGTAAAAAGTGTTGCAGAGCTTATCATCTCACTTCTACAAATATTTAGATGAGAAGGGACTGTTTAACTGAATTATCCAATTGATATCGATGAATATTTCAGCACATCTTTTGTGGAAAAACTACTTCTATTTTTGAAAAACAAAATTTTAGCAAAAAACGAAGCAAAATGCACCAAACTTTTTAAATAGGTGTAATGATAGCCGTAAGGTGTAAATCAGTATAATTTCTAACAATACACTAATAACATTGTGGAAAAGGTCGCTTTTTATTCATAAGACAGACAATACATATCCTCACATACACACACATAAAGAAAGAAATCGTTGTTCTCAACAACTTTACAAATGAGAAATACTACGAATATGTTTAACTTCAAAATCTACATGGAGAACTAATAATGATACTAGTGACTACAGTCAGTCAAAAAAAAAAAATCAAATACTCATTCTAATTGTTTTTAATAAGTTTGTTTAATTCAACTATGTGTTTAACGTAATGAGAATGGTAATAAATTTGAGTGTATACCACTTGCAAATAATCGATATAGAAAATATCCATATGCTGTGAATAATGCTGCCTGATTGAGGGTAAATCCAAACATTCTTGATGGATAAAGTATACAAGCATGATAGGCTATACGACCCAATAACCATACTGCTGAAAGTGATGGCAATAAACGTAGTGCTGATTGTTCGCTAATAGATGCTAATGCTAATTTTCCTGCTTGAAATGCTACAAATTGTTCAACAGTATTTGTTAAATTTCGTTGTGTTGCTTGAACATGTTCATTTGATTTCTCATCATTTGGGTCATGAACCGAAAAATAATTTTGTGTGCCAATAACACAATGAATAGCAGTAACAAGCGAAAGACCTTCGATACCAGTATAGCGCAATGCATAAGCAACTCGATCAGCAGCTGATGATAAAATTGGTATATTAAATTGTGGAATATTTTTATTTCCAAGAATAAATATTGCACTGGATACACCAAGACCTGAAAATAAAGAGTAAAACAATAAGATCATACTTGACAAACTCTTTTTAGTACGAAAGTCAAAGACAAACACCTACCAGCTAGAATGTATGGTCCAGTTTCACGAAGATGATGTTCAAATGATTTTTCTGCATCTCGAAGTCTTGTACTTCTCGATGGTTGCTAAAATAAAACTATTTACTTTAGTTTATAGCTTTACTAATAATTTACATAATAAATTACCACATTTCGGGATAATGGGTTGTCACTCGAGTATGTTGTCATTTTATCAAATTAATTTACGTTTGTAATTAAATAATGTATACAAGAATTTCTAAAAAAAAATAATATCTCTTTATAGCTTACATGAACGCTTGTAATAAAAAAAACTACAATTCTTTACAGCGGTGAAAACAGTGGATGTTGACGAATTGAAGTAAAATATACACATAGAACAGACACGTTTTTCTCAACAATACAACTGTTCTTTACCCTGTTTTTTTTTATTCTTTTCTTTCGTCATCCGTCGTTTTCTTCTCACACGACCAGAAAAATATATAAGATCAAGAAAGAAAAAACATTCAACTTTTATTTCCCCTTTAATAAATCACAGTAACGTGCTACACGTGATGAGAAATGACCTATGTATTATGCGTAGAGAACTTTTGCATTTTATTTATATTATATAGCAAAATATGTTAGATGAGCGGAATTCAGGTTTTTTTCTCGCTCTCACATCTCTTATTTTTCTGTAACATAGACTGATCAGAACTTTTTTTTTTTTCTCCTTTTACCGCCAATAAAGACAACTCAGAGAAAATAAAAAAAATCTACGTACGAGTATATAGTATAAAACTGTTAGCTATATTTCTATGTGTAGTCGACTGATTAATAATCTTTTTCTTTCTTGGTTTTACTACTATTTTTTGTGATTTAGTAATTTTTATCAGCTGTTGTTCGTCGTCTGTTCTATGATACAAGCACTCTTACAATCTAAAATCTGCAACCGATCTGAACTAAACTTTTAGAGATGTGTAGTTCTTCATTTGACTAGATTATGATAAGAAAAAATTTGATTCTAAGATGTTCGAGTGTTAGCTGCTTAACTTAATATATAGCACCATAAACAAAAATATTTTTTCATTATAATTTTCTTTTCTCATCATACCAAATTATCGATAGGGGTATCTTCGATGGTGCATTGCATCATGGTTTTAATAGTACTAATGATAAATTACATGAATATCAACGAACAAATGGTAACTAACGTTATCTAAAATGGATCATTTGAAAATTTTTCTTTCTATAATGGGAATGTTTTCAGTCACCATCTTGATGAACTAAATAATACTGTATGTAAAGTGTTGGTTCCATAATGTAAAAATATTTTTGATGCGCGTATATCAGATCGAGGACTACTTTGATAAAAAAGTAAAAACATTCGAAGATGATAAACAAATTGAAATACAGTTGTCTGATGATATTTTACGTTATAATGTTGGGTTCTATGAAAAATTGTCATATAAAAACTGGGTACCCAAAAAAATTGGACAAAAAACTTTTAATAAAAGAACAGAAGCCTTCTTTTGTCGAGACAAACAAGTTGAGCAAACACAAAGAAAAAAACAGGTAGCTGTAGTCTTTGAAGAAATCTTCAGATTAGTTTAAAAGAATGTATACTGTACACATTTCTTTGAAGCACTAAAATTATTAGATTTTGAATTATTGTAGTATTAGAATGATTACACTAACCGATAACTACAGTGGTATGTAGAACAGCTTTCAGACTATAGTCATGACCACATTTTACTCCTTAATGCCTACGTTTACAATCAGTACAACGTTTTGTTTGTGTATAAAGGCTTTACTTATACAATCGATGAAATAACGAGAAAATTTATTATTGAAAATGTGTGACAATGCTCAAACTTTTATATGTAAAGTTGAAGCGCCTCTAAACAACACATTTTTGTGAAATCCGATAAGAATCTTATGAATACCTTACTGAATTCTTATATAAGATCTTCCATGAAAGTGACAAGAATCCACTCTAAAAAAAAATCCGACTTCTTCTATCCGTCTTACTCCTATATTGGTCTAACTTTTTTTCTTCCGTCTTATTTTAAGACAGACGAATTTATCAGTCTTATTTGTAAGACCGAAAAAAGATGTCTTATTTTCATCGTCTAAAGGATGAGAAATCATTCACCTCTTTTGTTTCGGATTTACCACTTGTATATAAAGAACAGAAAATTTAATGAAAATACACTAGGAATTTTTTCATTTTTCTCTTATAGAATAGTGACAAAAGCTAAACCGGAAATACTGGTCCATTCTCATGAGATTAGATCATGTATGATCTATCTAATTTTAAAATTCGAAATGTTATAGAAAATAAGACATAAATTTGTCGATCTTAAAATACGACATCGTAAGTCGGTTAACGATTAGTCGCATACATGGGTCTTAAATTAAGACGCTTCTCTCCGCCTTTTTTTAAGACCAATGCATGTGAGTAATCGTCAACGTCGTATTTTAAGACGCATTTTTTTAGAGTATTCCGCAGGAATTTAAAAGAATCTTGTAAGATTCACATAGACTTCCATAATAACCGGTAAGAATCGGCAGAACTCGTACGTTATTCGAATAAAAGTCTTATCACATTCTTGTAAGATTCTTACAAGTTTCTTATGAGAAACTTGATTGACTCCTCTACAAAATAAATTCCAGTGTAGCACTGGAAAAGGGCTGGGACTGCCAGGACATACGGCATGCCATGTTGCACTTGCCTGGCACCGGCGAGCACTGGTACCACATTTTTTCAGTCACCGTTTTGTTTTCTAGGATTGATTCCACTATGTTTTACTTGGACTTTTCTTCGAGAACATGGTGTAATCAAATTTTGATACTTTCATCAAGCAGGCGATGCTTTTAGCATGTCATAATTAGGCACGCACCAACGCAATATATTAGATTTTTATAGTATTATTGAGTCGCTTGAGTAAAGCCTATTTTTATGAATGTAAATGATATTAAGGTTAAAAAGTTGGATAGGAAGAATATTAATGCAAAACATTGCATAACTTTGACTTGTGGTCCGGTACATTGCATCCGAAGTCCACTGTCTTTCAGCTTATTATACTTGTTTCTAGTTCTTTTTACAACCGCAAGGTTTTAAAAAACCATAGGACTAAACCTTCGCAAAATTGTAGCTTCTATAGAATGTGTTTGCGAAGAATCGACTTTTTATAACATGGGTGAAGCTATTATAGTACAATATTGTTGGATATCCAATAATACTGTACAATATCTTCAGTAATGATTGGAATTTGTGTATGCCTAGTCATAATCTCTATCTGAAAAGGAAAAGTCAGTATGGATAGAGAGTCAGATCGTAAATTCAGAGGAAGTACACAGAAAATTCAGCTCTCTGTTCTCTTATCTAAACACGTCCCATTTCCACGAGTCACAATGTTGAACTATTGGATTTTTGGACAAGTTTCTTTTGAGAAACATTTCTTGCACAGATCAACTAAGTTCTTTCTCGCTGTATTTCTCAGTTCTTGATCAATATCTGACTGTAATCTGATCTCAAAATAAAAGTGATAAAGACTGATGTCTTTTGGTCCGTTCACTTGAATTTACGATCTGACTCTCTATCCATACTGACTTT